AATAGAAATTAAAAATAATCGCACTCTCTCTGCACGATAACTTGCTATGGCATTATTAACGTTTGACAATAACATTATCAATGTTTATAAAATTAATTATTATTGATATACGTCTCATTATACCAATTTCAAATATACTTATCAATGTTTTATCATTATATCGGCGACTTGCTATGGTATTATTAACGTTTTGTATTGATATTATTAACATTTATGAAATGAATTATTATTGATATGAGAAATTTAACAATGCTATGTAGTATTGGTGCTATAGGTTTTTGCCTTTATGGTACAACTTAAAATTGTACATTTACGTTATGGTACAACTTTAGATTGTACCTATACTTTTTGTACAAATTCTTTTACAACTTCAAGTTGTAAAGTTGTACCATAACATAAAGGTACAAATTGCATTATGGTACAACCTAAACTTATACATTTAATGTTATGGTACAACTTTGAGTTGTACATTAAAGCACCAATGCTATATAGCATAGTAGAAGTGCTCTTATTGATATACCTCATCATTATTAACAATGTCAATATACTTATCAATAGTTTATGATTATATTATTAATGATTTTAGTTCAGTTGCTAACGATTAACATATTCGTCTTCAATGGCCTCCTACAATGATTTTCATTGGCATTATTAACGTGTTGCGATTAATTGATATAGCTTTACATTATCATTCTCAATGATCATATTGCACAATGTTTATTTTCAAAATCTTTGATACATGTGACATAGGATGTAAAGCAAACCAACATTGACAACCAAACCGTTAATAACGATAAATCAAATCATTGATAACAAAATCATATTTTGTTGAAAACAAGCAAAAAAATATTAATAATATTCAGACTCAAATGTTTTTTTTTTTTTTTTTGTGGAGAACGGGATGCTAAGGGCACCCCAACCTTCAATTAATGCTTACTAAACGAGGAGTAAGAACTCCAATACAGTCAAAGTACAGCCAGTAGTTCAAGAGCGGACTAGGAACATCCACAAAGTGATCACCAGGCGGACGTCCATGTCCAAGAGATGCGAGGTAGTCTGCAACGACGTTCCCTTCCCGGTACACATGAACAACTTCTACCTGCCAATCGAGAGCTTGTAGCCGACGTACTTCCGAGATCAAAGCCAAATGGGGATGCCGCTCCCCTGCGCTTCCAATAAGTTGAATAGCTTAGAGGGAATCAGTTTGGACTTGTACCTGCCGGAATCCCATTTCCCAAGTTGTTTGCAATCCAAAAACTATGCCTGCCAACTCTGCCTTAGTAATTGATCCTTCTCCCAAGTTCCTCGAGAAAGCTCTCAGCATACGGTCGTCGTCCCGTCTGATAAACCCTCCCACCGCTGCGTTCCCACTAACCACCGAACCATCTGTATTAATACATACCCAACCTGTCGGGGGTGGCGTCCAAGCAATGAGCCGCCGGGTAGTGGCTTGGCTTCCCGCGAAGACCCGGGCAGCCTTAGTCTCCTCCTCCTCAATCTGTTTCTCCATAGTCACCACTCTGCAGGCTAGCGAGTGTATCTACTCTATCTCCTTTTCGAACACCAGTTTATTCCTATTCTTCCAAAGAGACTAACACATCACTACAAACCTGGTTGGTGCCACATGCAAGCTGCGGCCAGCAAGATAGTGTAGGATCCATCTGCTCAGGTCATTTTGGAAAAAAGTTTCATCAGGCTCCTCTTGTAGGAACTCCGCCCAGGCAGCACGAGCATAGGGGCAATCGCGTATGACGTGCATGGTCATCTCCTCGTCTCCTCCACAAATTTGACAGGTGGACACAGTGGTTAAGTGTCTCCGTCTCCTTTCACAATTAGTGAGCAGCCTCTAGTGCGCTACAAGCCAAAAGAAAGCTTTAATCCGCTGAGTTGCAGGGAGCCGCCATAGCGTCCTCCACATAGGATGCGAGCTGCCGGGATTCTCCTCCACCTCTGTCAATGTATATGCCGACTTCAACGAAAAACAACCATCTGGAGTTAAACGCCAGACTGCCACATCCTCACCTTCTTCACTCGGGACTGGGTGGAGCTGAATGAGGCTGACTATTTCCTCCTGCAAAAAAGCACGTAAGTACTGCAGGTTCCACTGACCGTTAAGTACCAGCTCAGCTACCGTCAGTGATAGTGCCTCTTGCGGGAGGTTCATAGCCAAATCGGCTAGAACCGGACCATCCTGTAGCCATCGATCCGTCCAAAAATGGGTTCTTTTGCCGCTCTTTATATTCCACATGATTGCGTCAGGAAGCAGGTGCAGGACCCGGAGAACGCCACGCCACAGGTTTGACAGGCGGCCTTGAGTTCTCGGCTGCCATCCCTCCTCGGTTCGTCGAAGGTATTTTGCCCGAACAACTTTAGCCCATAAGCTCTCGGGTTCCGCTATCAGCCTCCAAGCTATTTTGAGCATAAAGGCTTCATTCACCCTGGTCGCGCATCGAAGCCCGAGACTCCCTTCATCTTTCGGGCGACAAATAGTTTCCCAATCAATCAGATGAACCTTCCTGCCTCCCTCCGAACTCCCCCATATAAACATCCGGATTTTCTTGTCGATGTAGTCCCTCACACTCGCCGGAAGGAAAGTAGTTTGCATGATATATGATGGCAGCGAGGAGAGGACCGCCTGAGCAAGGGTTATACGTCCTGCCAGAGAGAGAGTCTTACATTTCCAACCGACAAGGCGAGAGTTTATTTTATCCACAAGATCAACAAAGGTAGCCTGCGACACCCGATCATGTATAACTGGGACGCCGAGATACCGGCCCAAATTCTTCGTTTCTGGGATCCCCAAAGCCGAGGAAATTTCTGCCCCCTTTGCTACTGTGATGTTCTTCGAGAAAAAGACCCGAGATTTCGGCTTACTGACTTGTTGGCCAGAGGCAGCACTGAAGTCCTCCAAGCACTTCATAATGGTCGCGACCTGCTGCATGGATGCCTCGCCAAACAGAATCAGATCATCTGCAAAAAATAAATGTGACAATGCTGGCCCATTTGCCGAGATCATGATTGTTTTCCACGCGCCTGCCGTAACTGCCGCCTTCACTTGATGACTTAATCGTTGCATACATAGAGTGAACAAATATGGTGAGAGCGGACAGCCCTGTCTAAGTCCTCTCAATGGCAAGAAACTATCAGATAGCCCACCATTCCACTGAATCCTCATACTAGACGAGGTTATGCACTGCATTGCCAGAGCAACGAAGTCCCCCGGGAGCCCTGCTGCCTCCAATGTATTCTGCATAAAAGGCCATTTGATGCGGTCATATGCCTTCGCAAGATCAATTTTGAGGATCATCCACCCCTTGCGCCCCGTTTTAGCTCGCATCGAGTGGACCACTTCCTGCAAAACACAAACGTTGTTAGTGATATGGCGCCCATGGACAAAGCTCGTTTGGGTTTCGTCCACCAGTCTGGGCATCCATGTCTTCAGTCGCTCCGCCAAGCACTTAGTTATGATCTTATACGTTACATTGCACAGGCTGATTGGACGGTACTGCTCTATCAGGGTCGGGCGATTCACTTTGGGAATAAGCACTAGAATGGTTTGATTCACCGTTTTAATCTTCGTCGGGTCATTCCAGCAATCTTGGGCAAATTGTGTTACCCTTCCTCCCACCGTTGGCCAAAATTTTTGGAAGAAAATCGGATGCAGGCCATCCGTTCCTGGAGCCTTAAGAGCGCCCATTCCCATGACTGCCCTTCGCACTTCTTCTTCTGTGAAAGCCCCCGAAAGGCTCCCCCAAAGTTCTGTTGTCCCAGTGGGGAATAGAGCCGGCAGGTTCTCAAGGTGGCCTGGTTCATCAGTATACAGGAGTTGAAAAAAAAAATTGGCCATATCCTGCAGTAGCTGATCATCTTCCACCCAGGCTCCAGCCTCGTTCTTCAACATAGTAATTCGATTCTTCCTTCTTCGCTGGACCGTACAGGCATGGAAGTACTTGGTGTTTTTGTCCCCCTGTGCGAGCCAGTCAAGTCTCGATTTTTGACACCATAAAATTTGTTCTTGGAGGAGAAGCTCTTCAAGTTCTTGGCGGTACTGCTTTAATTGAGGGGAATCAGAATCCCCTCCCCCAGCCATTTCCAACCTTTCAATCTTGACTAGTAAGGAGTTCTTCTTTTTAATAATATGTCCGAACGTGTGTTGGTTCCACTGCTTTGCTGCCGTTGTGAACGCGTCAATGGAGCTTCTAAGATCTGTCCCTTGCGACCAGGCATGCTCCGCCATTTCTTTGAACTCGTCATGCAGTAGCCAGGCCGCTAGAAATCGGAATGATTTTGTCCCCGCCGGCTGGTGAGACGAGGCAGTGTGTGTAAGAGAAGTGGCCGGTGATCGGATTTAATCTTTGGTAAGTGTTGTACCGAACTCTCAGGAAACGCGGAGTGCCAGGCAGTATTCCCCATCCCTCTATCCAGACGTTCCTTGGTGCCTGCATGGAACCACGTATAGGGTGGCCCCGAGTACCCGAGGTCGACTAGTCCCGCGTCCAGAACACACTCTTGGAAGTCTCTAACCCTGCTTGAGGTAAACGGAGCTCCACCTGATTTCTCTGAGGCATGGAGTATCGAGTTAAAGTCCCCAGATACAAGCCAAAGTTCCGTCATGTCTTCCGCAATATTCTTGAGAGATGCCCATAGCGACCGACGTTGGATAAGAGTCGGGGTTCCATACACCGCAGTGAAGTACCACTTCTTAGAGCCCTGTTCCACTGATACGTACAGGTGCTGGGATGACCTGTCTATCTCGTCAATTGTGATACAAGAGGAATTCCATAGTAACCATATCCCACCTGAAAAGCCCATAGCATCAACAACCAGGTCTTCCTCCATCCCCATCTTGCCTATGATTTTGCGAGCACGTGCCCTACTAATTCTTGGTTCTACAATGACTACAATGCTCGGGTTATGCTTTCGTTTATACTCCTTGAAAACTCGCACAAAACGATCACTTCCTGCCCCCCTACAATTCCAAACAAAGAGCCGTATATCTATCATAAAGATGGCTGGGAAGGTTCGGCTAGGGAGCCCCCATCAGGGCTCTCTACTCGGCTACTCGCTTTAGCTTGTTCAACTGGAGACTGGACCTCCACTACGTTCCTGCTCTGCTTTACCCCTACCGGCGGCAAAAGGTTGTGCTTTTGGGCATTAGACGAGGGCGGTTCTAGTGGCTTTGCCGGCAGTTGGGGCTGATCAGAGACTTCCATGGGAGAGGGGAGCATATTAGTGCGATTGGGCGTTTCCTCCCTAGTATCTCATTGAGGGCCATTGCTTATTTCCTCGGCGTTGGTCTTGTTCTTCGCGCTGTCCCTTGAATCTCTAGGCTCAGTATGTATCACGTCATGTGCATGGCTTTGCATGGCAGCATCCACTTGTATCTCAGGACTATGGCAACTCACTGTGTTTGTGTTTGTCTCCGCCGGGGCAGTATGGGTGGCAATCATTTCCCTCCACACTTGGCGTTGCGGAGGCGGCCCTGGCTTACGCATAGCTTGGGTGTCTTGCGAGCTTGAATGGCGGTGCATTTGTGGGGTATCCGTACCTTCCTCCTCCTCCTCCATTAGTGCAGCAAAGCGAGAGCCTACGACCTGGGCTTGTGGTGAACGTTGGGACGAGGAGGTCTCCCGGGACCCGTCCACCTGGGTTTTCTTGGAGAAAGGTCTTCGCTCTCTACGCTTAGCTATCATCCAGTCACCATACTGTTCCTCGTGCCGTGTATGGTTAGAGTCGTTACTAGTTCCCGCCTCTTGTTGGGTCCTGTCAGAATGATTATTAGGGCAACTGGACTGGTTATGCCCATATCGTCCGCACTGGAAGCACACATTATGCAGTCCCTCATACTTAATTTCATACTCAACCCCCCGCTACTTTGAATTTTGATAACAACGGCCTGGTCAGTTCGACTTCCACACATACTCGGGCAAACATCGCCCTTGCGCCTGTTTCAGTTGCCCGGTCTAGGCGTATAGGTCTCCCCACTCGGCTCGCAATGCGCAGGACTGCCTCAGGATGCTACAATTCGATTGGCAAGTCCGGCAGCTGAAGCCAAACCAACGTCGAGGTAATGGAGTGAGCTCTGGGGTTGAAACCCTTCCGCCAAGGAACAGCTGTAATCTAGTGATCGCCAATCATCCATGGGCCTCCCGTCAGGGCGTGCTCATAGTCTGCTTTCGTAGTGAATATCACAAAATAGTATCCATACCGGCGATTCGTAACCTGGATTATGCCAGTTCGTGCCCACAGCATATTCAAACGTCGCGCTATAACCGGGTAGGGGAAGGAGCGTCCCAAGACTTTAACAACGATCGCAGATCTCCATTCTCTCCTGTATTTATGCCACTCGAACGAGGAGAAGGAAATAGTTGGGCATAGAGGATTTTCATCTTCCAGGTCCTCATCCTCATTATCCTCCTCCCGCATCGCTTCAGCTATATCCTCCGAGTCGGACTTGGCAACATACCATTCCACCTCCTTCACTGCTTCACTGAATAATTTCTTCCTCCCTTCTCCCCATGCAGATGGTTTCGTAGGTGGGGCTGGGGGTTCCTTTTCCATGTTAGGCTGGTTCTCGGGTTCCATGGTTCTGGGGCTCATAGTTCGATGTGTTTCCTGCTGTTCCTCAAGGGTGATATCTTCAACAATAACCTCGTCCATAGGGCTTGAATCCCCGGTGAATGACAGAGGCCTTACTCTTTTCTTGGGATGTTGTTCCTCCTGAGCTTTTTTGCCGTCCGGTGAGGAGGAGACCTCCGGCGGTCGACGAATCCCCGCAGTGGGGTCGGGGGGTTTAAGCTCGCCTCCAATGGTGGAGGTGGCCGACGGCGCAGCAGCCGCCATGAACACAAACCGGCGAGCGCCGACCTACGCAAACCCTAATCGCCTTTGATTCCCTCACTCCTAATTTCTCGGAGCTCTTTTGATCGAAGGACACACTTTCTTTTTAGTTTTACTCATTCATACTCAAATGTTGAGTATCAAACACCACTCTAAAACGTAAAAACGTTCAAATTATATGAATCTGGTGGAAAAGTATAAAAAGAAAGAATAAGGATAATTGACCAGATTAAATTAAAACGTACAAAAAACACATTCATTGATAGTTACATTAAAAACGTAAGAAAGAAGTTGGAAAACATTAATAACTTTTTGGAGCATCACTAACTAAATATTTTGACAAACTGACAACAACAAAAAAAACAATATTTTGACAAACTGTTAATAAAAGGCGATGAAGCAAGAAAAGGCGAGGCATTGAAAGAAGAAGACAACAGGGCCACAGCTAATGAGAAACCTTGCTTACGTCCGGAGACATACAGAAAACTCATTGAGAAGAAAAATTACTAGTGCTGCTTGTCAGGACGGCGATCGCACTGCGAAGCTCGTTGTTGGATGTAGGGAACCTGATTGTCAGGATGGGGACATCGACGGTGCAGAGATGGCAGGGAAGTCTTGACGGGTTGAGAAGCTGGAGAGACAATCAATGAGGCTGAAGAAGCTGAACAGATGCAACAAATTGGAGAAAGGCATACGCTGAACGGATGAAGAAGAAGGTGGAGCGACCACCAAATGGATTCTGAAAAATGTGAATAGAAGGTGGAGCGACCACAAGACAAAACTAAAAAGTTATTATGATCCCGAACTGACCGCTGAAGAAGTTCTTGCAAAACCGAAGCCTGCAGATGTTATTGATACTCATTGGCTGATTTTGGTTAATCGATGGTATACTAAAGACTTCCAGGTATGAACAAATTTACTTTATTCGATTTTTTGTCATCATATTTATTTTAATTTTAACTTCTTTACCTTATGATTGCAATATTTGTAGAGACTAAGTCAGATAAACGCTGAAAATGCTAGCAACATGAAGACTCCACATACATGTGGAAGGATGATCTTTACGAGGTGGAGGGCTATAAGAGTATGTCTTTACCTAATACGAGTTGTTTGATTTTCTTTACAAACTTAATTGTGACATTTACAAATTGTGGTATTTTTATTCCTATGTTTATTAGACTCAGCAAACTGGAAAAGAACCTGATACTGATAGGCTGGAAACTTTTGAGAATACTCATACAAGAAAGAATGGGACCTATGTGAATGAGTATACAGCAACATTAATTGTAAGAGTTTCTTACTTTTTTACTTGATCCTCCTCCTTTAAATTTATTTGAACATACTTCGTTTTCAGAATCCTTCTACCTTACTGCTACTGATCTCTATTTTACTTTCAGGCGCTATTTTAGTTTCATTATGAACTATATTTGGCTTGTGAAGATATTACATTTGTTTTCTGTTAAAAATTCAGTAAAACTGACCACTTGTGTGGGTTATGCTCTTTTTCACCATTGTTTTTCTTTTTGTTTTTCGAGTAGGACAGAGTGTTCTAGTACTGTGCTTATGGTTTATGCTTGTTTGATTGATAAAGAAACTGCCAGCTTGGTTTTCTAGAGAGAAATTTAATATTAAGCTCACTTGAAATCAAGTTTCTAGAGTGGAAAAGATGTTACTCCTCTAACTAGAGATGTAGTAGGTTTAGCTCATCTATTTCCACACTCGGTTATAGGGTTCTGCTGGTTCTAAATGCTACTGCATTATTCTGGAGCTTCAACTTTTCATCTGTCTCCCTCTTCTTCTTTTCTATACTAATGATTTATTTGGTTCAAGTGATATAACTTTGCTGAATTTTGTGTAGGAAAGGGCGCATACTCTTCGACATGAGGGTCTGCTGATAATGAACAAATCTTTTAGAAGCTACTTGGTCCAGAGCATCCTAGGAGGGTTCGTTGTGCTGGCTTGGGACCAACCCCATCAACCTATTTTGGGCCTTCTTCTTCCTCAACTTCAACAAGTTCTGCCACGACATTGTGCTCTAATGAGGTAGTCGCTCTAGGTATTGAAGTGGTTGAACTGAGAAGTGAAGTGGTGGAACTGAGAAGTGAAGTGGTGAAACTGAAAAGTGAGGTGGTAGAACTAAAAACTGAAGTGGGTCGGTTGGGAAGTGGGATGGAACAGCTGCAAATGGAAGTAGACACATTGAAGGCATTTATCTTGCAACATCTTTGTAGGGAGAAGGGGCCAATTGAGGGTTCATTCCGTGCACCATCTTCATCAAGCCAGAGTGCTACACGAGGCTGACCAAAGTAAGTAAATATACGTAACTACATCTCTGTATGTTCGATTGGTTCAAGAGATGTAGATTTTTTGCCTCATCAAGGTGTCTTCTCACACTCTGCCACCCTCATATATACTGATATATAGGGAACATCATCAACTTAATTGTTTTAACTATGTTTTTAAAAGTCCGCTGCATAGCACGAATACGATACAAAGAGGTTACACTTGCACTAATTTCTGCTCTTATTGAATACCAATTCGGTGTTGGAAGTAGGTGTGCTGATTTGTATGGAGCTTTTAAATGGTGTTTTGCATAAATCTGGTAGCAGTGGTGGTGAATGATCTTGCATTTGCATTGTTGTTATTGAATACCAATTCGGTGTTGTTCCTCATTCAATTTACTTTATTTACTTCCATTTATAACAGGTTTGTCAGGCTAGCTTTGAGATTGATTGGTGGAAAGAGACAACAGCTCTAGCATATTGGATGCAAATTGCACTCTGGAAATTTATCTTTGCTGGAACTTTATCTTTGTTCAATTTTATTCCTTTGATTGAGCTACTAGTTGTACTCTGGAAGTAGTATGCACTACTATTGAAGTTAGCATTTTGTGGCATGGGATAATGAGTAATCTGCACTTTGAAGGTACTGATAGATATGTCTTGAAAATTTGAAATGTTGCAGCAGGTTATAGTAATGGATATTTTAGTGACAATGCTAAAATTGGTCGCTAAAAATTGTTGCTAAAATTCGTCACTAGAGGCTTGTAGGTGGTGCTCTAAAAAGTGGGACTAGTGTGGCCTGTAGCAGAGGTTTCAGTACCGTCGCAAAAGCATCAGCAACTGCTTCAAATTTCGTACTTGAGAGGGGAAAAAATACCAATAGCGACGGCAAAAACTGTCGCAAAAACCGCCGCAAAAACATTCACCAGCGGTTGGGCTAACCCTTGCCATAAACTAGCGGCGGTTAATTTTGCGACGGTTTTGCTGCGGTTACTAAAACAGCTGACGGGGTATTTTGTTTTGTAGTGAAATGGAGAAAGGCATACGCTGAACGGACGAAGAAGAATGAAGAAGCCAGACGCACAAAAAACCCTATCCTTCTAAACCTATTCTCATCGCAATAAACTAAATTGGATTAAGTTTAAATTAATTAAAATTCCCTAAGTACCCTTATTAACTAACCAATAACCACTAACTAATTAATAACTACTCTAGATTAATCTAACGGCCAATATTAACTTAAGAAACTTCTTAAGTTTGGTGGATTAAAGACCTGAACCCATCCCACATTTTTCATGTAAAAATAGAATACGGGTCAAACGGGTGAACCGCAATCCACCCACTCACACAGTGATGAACGCAGGAATTTAAAATAGGGGTGTTCTTTTAAAAAAAATAAAAAAAAATTATTAAATAATTAATAAAAATTAAATAATTCTTATATAAGAAAATACCTAAACCATACGAGTTAAAAAACGTCCATGGGTGTTTTCATATTCGAAAATAATTGTAAAATACACTTAGTGTCTACACTGCTCAAAAAATTGTCTTTGTATATCCTACTAGAATCATTCACAAACTTATCACATATTCGATTTTTACACTTGTTCTTGATGTAACTCAAAACTGAAAAGACTCTTTCAACAGGATTTCCATTTTTAGTCTATCTGTCTGTTGCTTCTTCAGGCAAGCTCAGTTATGTTCTAATCACTTCGATTCACGTACACGAGTACCTTCCTTCAAATAGATATATTCCCTTTCTTAATATGAATAGTACTTCTGTAAGCGCACTTGTAGTACAACAGTGTTTAAAATAATTGGTTTAATTGTTAGGTTTTGGAAATAATTAGAGCTAGGGAATGACATTTTACTATTACACATTGTTTAAAATGTAACAAAAAATGAGTTGTAGTCTAAAGAAAATTATTTTTATTAATAATAATAGTGTCTTGGGTTTAAATTACACAAACTACAACTTATATTCCTATACACAAACTAAAAGACGAGAGTAGGATAATTATTTTTTCAAATTTCAAAGGTGTCCCCGACTATCAATTAATTTTTTTTGTCCATATGTAATTTACCAACAGGGGTTGGATAATCATTTCCCCAAATTTTAGGGGTGTCCCAGGACACCCCCAATCACCCGTGCGTGTGGAAGATCTATCAATCACACATTGCGTGCAGGTTGAGTTATTTGCGGATGGATCGATATCAATCCGCGGATTAACCACCCACATCCCACCCTACCGTCTAATGCTAGAGAAGCACAAGCTTAATTGCCTCGTTTGTAAAACGAGACAATTGATCAAATTGACTCATTTCTAGATTGATCCATCCAAACGACCCCTTAAGCAAATTGGTTAAGCTTGATTAAGTCATCCAACCTTAAGTTGAGTCAGGTAGTAAGCCAACTACCGATTGTCTAAACTGAGAGGGTCGAGTGACATAGCCTTTCATTCTTACCTCGGTTTAGCAATTGAGATTGTGGTCTCCAACCACATATGCATCCCTCTACGGTACGCGGTTACCAGTTTGCATCTAGGTTGGCTGTGATTAAGCCGCTCAAACTCCGGTTTGAGGGAGAGACCTAGGCAACCACTAGAGCCTGAGTGAGAGGATCGATCCCGTGACAAATCAATCCCTAGCGAATCCATCCCGTGATAAATGGATTGTTAGTTGCTCCTCCTAGAGGTTCCCCTAGACTTGGTGAGTGGATCG